CAATGCTTGGTAAGAAATGTATGCATTATCTTGCCCATGTAATTGTAACCCCTCTGTACAGTATGTTCACAAATAAAATAAAATTAAAAAATAAAAGAATTTCTCTGGAGCTGATAGTCAGCATTGCAGATGTGTTGTTGAATTTAAGAGTGTTCTGTATCTGGGTGCATGGAAACTTGTGCCTGATCTGATGTCAGCTAAGAACTCAGTTTTCATTGTTCACATCCAGCACTCTATTACTTGAGTCACTCTACACCTTCAATTCTGATTTTTTTTTTTTTTTGCTGGTTAATTGGAAGTTAGAGTTTCATGGAGCAAATGTGTACCCAATATGTCTTCAAATTAAGACTCTCAGATCACAGTCCCCTGAGGAGCTAGGGTCATAGCCTATAAGTAGTGCTTTCCTACTTTTCTGGTTTTTTAATAATCTAGACGAGTTATATAGCCTCATGATTTTAATAGTTCTTAAAGGCTATATCATAGGTGATTCAGAATGATGAAATGTTAGCCACTAGAATTGAGTTAGGTTCATTTTTTTTTCTTTTTTTTTTTTTTTTGTCGGTCATGGGCCTGAACTCTGGGCCTGGGCGCAGTCCCTCAGATCTTCAGCTCAAGGCTAGGGCTCTAGCACTTGAGCCACAGTGCCACTTCTGGCTTTTTCTGCTTATGTGGTGCTGAGGAATTGAACCCAGGGCCTCATTCATGCATAGCAAGCTCTCTACCACTGAGCCGCCTTCCCAGCCTCAGTAGGTTCATTCTTTAACTCTGGTATTATTTAAGGTCAAAGCTAATTTGATGAGAAAAATAATCAAAATATAAAGGAGCATATACTTCAGAAGAATATCTTCTGGTTTTCAAGGACTACAATATGTGTATTTAAAATTTTTTTTAATTCATTTTCTTTCATAAGGAATTGGAGGAACAATATAAAAAGGAAAAGCTACATATGGAAGAGGATAAGAATCAACTTCAACTAGAGCTAGAAAACCTGAAGGACGTACTAGAAGACAAGCTGAATACAGCCAATCAAGAGGCAAGAATCCTTTGAGCCTATCAATTACAATATACTCACACACACACACAGGTACACACAACATATACCCACATACATCACACACACATCCACCATACACACACCATATACACACACACCCATACACACACACATATGCACAGACACACCTGCACACATGTACACACACATACACATATATACCAGATACATAAATACATATACACCATACACATAAACACTCATACACCATACACACACATTCACACACACATACTCCTTTCTCTGTAACTTATACTGGTGATTCTGTCTACATGAATGAGCCTTAGTGAAGGTAACATATTAAAGTAAAATTAAAGAATCTTTAAAGAACTTTAGTTGGCGCTGATTGTTTTGTAAGAATTTGGTTGTAACTCACTAAGTTAACATGTACCAAGGGGAATGAAATGTGTTGTTGTTGTTGGGGAAATGCAAAACAAAGAAGATTGTTACCTTACTGGGAAGGAAACCAGGCATCTTTGCCTTTTTGCAAAACATTATCTTAGTCTTCCAACACTGTGTCTCATTTTTAAAGGGAGAAAATAAGTTTGTGACTTCTAGATACTGGCCTCTGAAGTAAATAAATGAAATATTCTTTAGCCTGGAAAAGAAAAGGCTCAGAACAGGATAAACACACGTTTTGATTTTTAAAGACCTGCAGATAACAATGTAAAGGCCATTTACAAAATTTGCTCCTTCTCTTTCCACTTATGTCTCAGGTGAGGCTATGTGCTGGGACCCCTCCCAGCTGTCATCCTTCCATGGCTTGTGGGGTGATCTCCCTCAGACTAGTTCCAGCTTTGACATATGTCATCTTGTCAGCTCCTCCTACCCTAACTACTATTACTGTCATCAAGTCCTTCTTACCACTCTGCTTCTGCCCATAGAAGCCATACGAAATGTACACCGAGGTGCACAAGTGCCCCAGGACAGTCCCTCTCCCTATTTGAGTTATCTTTAAACCTCTGCCCAGAGAAAGTGTAAAATGCTCCCTTTGGAAACAAGGCTTTTATTGATCCTAGCCTAGCCTGGCTTCTGTTGTCCTAGATCTTCTGTTGGCTTCATAATTGCATACCTCTCTCAGTAGACCCTGACCTTCCTAGTTGCTATGTCCCATCTCCATTACAGGCACTTCACTGACCATCTGTGTGTCCCTCTAGGTCCCTCAGGTTCCCTCTTCCAATTTTAAGTGGTTTAAGTATTCTTCCAGCCTACATATTATAACTTCACTGACAGGAGTATTGTCAACTTGTTTTTCTTCTAGCTACATTTTCAGTTATATTTTCTAGTCCTGCTAATGTCTTGGTGCCTCTTTGAATGGATCCCAAGAATCTGCCTGGTTCAGCCTTCCATATGGTTCTGCTCTCCCCTCATCTGGGATGTCTTTTTGGATGTCTTTTCTCTTGTCCTGCTTTGCTGCGTAGGGTCTATAGAGACTGTAAACATTGTTGTTTTGCTTCCTGATCTGAAAGGGAAGGATATCAACATTTTTCAGTTAATTAAGATGCTTCCCTAGAGTTTTATTTTGTAAGTGCCCTTTATTAGATTAGGGACATTCCCTACTAACGATAGTCTCATTTTAAAGAATCATGAATAGATGTAGTTTTCTGAACCTGTTATAATCATGCTTTTCAAAATTGCTAATGTGGTACCTTATACAAATCAACTTGGTCAGATTTAAATCAACCTTGAATATTTGAAGTATGTCCTAGTTAAATATATTATCTTTTAAATAAAATGCTAGATTCCATTTGCTATTTGTAGTAGGATTCTTGAGACTGGGTTCAAGTAAGGCTGCTTTGTGCTCTTCATATTATACTTTCATGATTTTCAAGTCAAAGTTATACTGGCTTCATAAAATTAAGTAGGACACGGGCCTTCGGTTTTTTGGAAGAGGTGTGAAAGGTTGAAATTATTTTTCAGCATCGGTTGCATTGTGGTTGGAAACTGGTTTATACCAATGTAATTTTTGGAACGTGTTCAAGTTAGCTTTGTGACCCAGAACAAGAGAGAAATTAAATGTTCTGAGCACAGTCAGTTGTTTCATGCAGTAAGACAACATGCCTGTCCATAAAAATCAGGATTTATACTATTTCCTTCAATCCTTTCTGTGTTTATTCTAACATTGACCTTTATGTCCTGTTGTTTGCTAAAAACTTGACACCATGTTGATTTTCTAATTTCCCTTAGATTCTGTCAATATTTGCTTTGTGCATTAAGTAATATTTCCATATTTTTATGATTTAGGAAGCACTTGTTAAGTAATGGTATTTTCTGGGTGGTGGCAAAACTTTAACAAAACATCAAGAAACTCACAGCTGTTATGATTTGAGTCCATAGAAAAAGGATTTTTTTTTACCAAATAGTTTCATAAAAGCCCTGGAAAATAATATCGGAGATTTCAAAACTGTGAAATGGAAGATAGTCTTTGAAATTTACCAGATATAGAAATATCAACGTTAATATGGATATGAAGAATAATGTTAAGTACAGTCATTGGTAAACAGGTTTCAGTGTCTTGACAAACCATGAATATTTCTCTACTTCATCACTATTAATAATTTTATACTTTGTTATTTACCCACCAGTAGAGCTATCACTTATCAAAACATAGCAACCAAATGTGCTTCCACACATTGCCAAATGTTCTTTGGAAGAACATGTTCTTTGGAATTACTACACTTCATTATAAGATATACATGGGGCTTGACAAAGAAATGTAGTAGAAAGGAAGCTGAAGACAAATTGTGAGGGAATTTTGTTCAAGGCAAAGATTGTGGGCTTTCGCTGATGATACTTATATTAAAAAGAGCCACCACACTATCTGTAGTGATAGTTTTAGAAAAAAAGAATTGTGGTAGAAAGATGGCCTATGTGGAAGGGAGGTGGTGATCAGAGGTAGATCGACGACTTAAGATTCTATTACAGTAGACCAGCCCTGGGATGTGATTTGCAGCTTTGCAAACTGGGAGTGGAAAGGCTTATGCAAAAGTAAAACTTAGAAAGTTTTATGAAGTGAGTCAAGTATTATTTGGACAGATAATGATGCTGCTATTGGAAGAAGAAATTATAGCAAGGAAAGTTTATGAGAATGACAAGATATTGAATTGTTTGGATATGCTCATGCTGAATGCATCATGAGACATCTTAGAAGAACGGAGTGGAAAGTTAAGGCTTAGAGCTAAAAACGAGGTGTTCCTAGTGAGACTAGAACTCTGGGTCAGTGTCTTTAAGTCTCTCAGGCTACCCATGGTAGCTGATGAATACAGTGAGGAAGGGGAGGACCAGTACTGAGTTAATAGAGCCAGGAAAAAAAATAATAATTGAGAAGCAGCAGAAGCATGAGGCCAAAGATGAATGGATATCAGAAAACTATGAAAAGAGTTGATGTCACGCATTACTTAGAAGCCAGAGTATGAAGCCCGAAAAGAGTACACTAGGATGTGTAATCAGGAATTCTCTGAGCAAAGTTCTATAGCTTCAATGAGAAAGGATGGATTCTAACATTCCTAGTTTAATTTGGATAGTATCCCTCTGTATAAGTGGAAGAAGTGAGGAAAATAAAGTTAAATTTTTTCAATCTCAACACTGAAAAAAACATCCCAAATGTGTTAAGGATTGAAATGTGTATTTGATTTCATAATATACAGGTAAAATATGAAAATACACATTTGACAAGCTTAGGACAAAGAAGACTTTCTGACAAGATACTAAACTCATAAATTCAAAACAGAGGGCTGGGAAGGTGGCTCAGTGGTAGAGTGCTTGCCTTGTATGCATAAGGCCCTGGGTTCGATTCCTGAGCACCATATAAGCAGAAAAAGCTCAAAGTGGTGCTGTGGCTCAAGTGGTAGAGTGTTAGCCTTGAGCTGAAGAGCTGAGGGACAGCGCCCAGGCCCAGAGTTCAGGGCCCATGACCGACCAAAAAAAAAAAAAAATATATATATATATATATTCAAAACAGATAATGTTTATACAATTAAAGCTAAAACTTCTCCATATCAAAACATACCGTAATTAGAATTAAAAGAGAAAAATTGGGAGGGATGGAGTTAAGTAGCTGACAAATTGTATAACCCACTAAGAATTCATGTCTTTAATGTTGTAAGAGTGTTTACAAAGCAATAAGAAAAATATAGACACTATGATTCTGTTGGGTAAAAATATGAAAATCAACTTTAGTGTTTGCCATAATTTAAGAAGTAGAAATGAAATGAATTTTGATGGTATTCCATTACACATATTAACAGCGATAAAAATTAAGTGAGACCAAACAGAGTTGATGAGAGTACAGAAATAAACACTCAGAAGTTGCTGAGCGCAACATAAAATTGTATAAACTTGCCTGAAAGGAACTCAGCAGCATGTGTGAGAGCTGTAGATAGGCAAGTAGTTTTACTCAGCCATTTCAGTTTTGTGTTGGAAACTTACGCAGATAATTAAAGAGTACTGACACATTTTCAGCACTGTTTACAGAAGAAATTTAGAAACAACTTAAGTTTCCACAGAACTATCTCCCTAAAAAAAGGAAGTCTTTCCCTGATTCACACGTAAACGTTGTTTATGCCCCTCTATACCTGGAGCTGCTTCCACACGTAAGGGAATGGCCCTCTTCAGCTCAGAGGCACAATAATGGCCCAACAGTGACCCTGGTATACTATAAAACTCCAGAAACAGAAGCTATTGTGGGGAGGGGAGCACCTTCTAGAAGTTAAATACTTACATATTGAGACGCTAAAGAGATTTTATTTCTTAGTTGCTATTGTTTATATTTTTCAGTAATTGTCTCATTCATTTGTGCAGTAAATATTTAGTGGAAGTTTACTACTGAAAGACTGGAAGTAGATTATGCCTGAAATATTACCTATTGGAGAGGCAGAAATTGGGAGGATTAAAGTTCAAGGCCAACTTGGGTAAAAAAGTGAGACTTCATGTCAATAGACACTGAGTATAGTAGTTCATACCTGCCATTCAGCTGTAAAGGAAGCCTAAATAGAATCACTCCACACTGGCCCCAGGAAAAACAAGTGACTACATTAAAATAAATAAATAAAGCAAAAAGATTAGGGGTGTGGCCCAAATTGAAGAACACTTGCCTAACAAGTAAAAAGCCCTGAGTTCGGATTTTATTATACAGAGAGACAGACAGACAGACAGAGACAGAGAGAGACAGAGTTAGAGGGAAAGAAACTAGAACTGGAAAGCTTTCATAATTTTCTTTGTAATATCTATATTTGTAAGAAGAAATACCCAGGTATTATTTTTAAATGACCAAATGTAATTTTTGTAGCATTTTCATAGGACTGTTTTTTTAAAACTTTTAATTAAACATTTTCCTAGACAATTTGAAGTATGGCATTCGTGGATTTGATTCTTACTATTAGACAGCAGTGATCTGCCCTGTAATAAGTTGTCCATTTGCCCCTAATTTCAAGAGGATAGAAATTCAACTCTGAAGAGATTTCATGAGACAAGTTTTATATGGAAACAGAAATTACAACTTATTCTATAGGCTGTGTGTACCAAAGATCCATATGGACAGAGCTGTATCTTTTGTGGTTAGCAAAAAACTGGACTCAAATAGAATTTTTTAAAAGTATTTTAAAAGAATGTTTTAAAAGTATTTTTAATCTTTAATATAGTCTTTATCTTGCTTTAGTTTCTTTCAACTGCTGATTTATTATATGATTGAACCAAGAATTCTCTTTAAGCTAAGAACTTGAGGGGTATATCCATTTCTTTACATGGTGGTCCTGGAAAAAAGAAAGCATAAACACAAGGTCTTTTCACAAAACAACCCATGATAAAAGTTTATCATCCTAAGTTGAGTGCTTCCTCCACATTCATGGAGAAAGCATCCATTCAGTAACAAAACAACTCAAGAAAACTTTTAAGAAGCTGTGGAGCTGTCACCATGAGGCATATGTAAAGTACCCTGTTTCCTTGCAGATTGGCCGCCTCCAAGACCTGGTAAGGAAAAGTGAACAAGGGCTTGGCTCTGCTGAAGGACTCATTGCTAGTCTTCAAGATTCCCAGGGAAGGCTGCAGAAAGAGCTTGACTTGACTAAAGGCCGGCTAAAGGAGACCAAGGAGGCTCTGTTAACTGTCAAGGTAATCGCATAACTTTACTGTCATCTTAAACAGCAAAATGAAAATATAATTTAGCTACTTTGCCCCAACCTTATTTCAATCTCATGATATATAATTAGTGTGTAAATTTCTTGAGTTTCCAGTACAAAATACTTCAAGCTAGGTCACTTAAAGGAAGAGAAATTTGTTCTCTTGAAGTTTTTGAAGCCAGAAGTTTAAAATCAAGGTACTGGCAGGGCACTTAACTCTCTGTAACTCTCCTTAACTCTCTGTAGGAGTAGTTCTCCTTTGCATTTCCCAGCTTTTGATAACCTCAGGCAGTCCTCCCAGTTGACCACATAATTGCTGACTTCACATTGTCATCTTATAAGTTTACTAGTCATATTGGATTAAGTGCTTCCTCTACTGGAGTGATCTTGTTTTCACTGACCCTGTTTCCAAATAAAGTTACCTTCTGAGGGTGGGGTGAGCCAGACTGTTAATCCTTCGTGAAATCTTTTTGGAGACATGGTTCAACCCATAATATGTTCAAATATAGTATGTACAAATTATTTTACTGGTGAGACTTGGAGTTTACATATATAGCAAATATGGCTTTCTTTTGCCTTTCCTTTTCATTCAGGAAGCAAAGAAAAGTTTTCAGCTGCTTAGTTGAGAAAAGATCCAAGAAATATAATAGCAAGGAGCCCTTCCTAACCTTTTCCTGCAGAGGTAATCTGGAGTGTTGATCCTGTTTGAATTCCACATCCACTGTTCAGGGTTCAGGGGAAAGCCTCAGCCCCCTCATCTGCACAATGAAGGATGGGAGTGTGATAATAATAGCATTACTGTAATAATTGAATGTGATAGACTTATTACAGCACAGTGCTTATCAGAGCAGAAACAGTAACTGTTAAGCTTCTTAATTTTGTTTTTTGTTTGCATAGAGCTGGTAACATTCTAAAACATGTAAACAAGGACAGTTGTGGATATTGGCACACCTACACTGTGCACATTATCTAAGGTAGAATTGTGTTGGTTACTGATTATACTACTTTTATTTTTTTATTTTTGGATCCAGTCGTGGGGCCTGGACTCTGGGCCTGGGCACTTCCTTCAGCTCTTCATCTCAAGGCTAGCGCTCTACCACTTGAGCCACAGCACCACTTCCGGCTTTTTTCCTTTTGCTTATGTGGTGCTGAGGAATCGAACCCAGGGCCTCTGGCATGCAAGGCAAGCGCTCTACCACTGAGCCACCTTCCCAGCCCCCACTACTTTTATTTTTGAAATGTGACAAAATAAGTAAGATTATTATGTTTACCTTTCTCTGGTGCTATGTGATATGATAGTGTTCACAAAAATAAGAAAAAAGTTAGCATTTAGAGTTATTATACTATAGAGTTTGGTAAATTTAAAATGTTATGCCAAATACTGCCTATAACCTCAGTGGAAGCATTCTACATCATAACACTTAGTTGATGACAAGACTACATTAATAAGTTTTTCCCCCATTGGCAAAAAAAAAGGAAGATGATATTTTAAGGTAGAGTTTTGTTTTGTTTTGTTTTTTATTTTTTGTCTTTTTTTCTTTTTAAGTTTTTCTTTTTTAATATATATATTTATTGTAAAAATGTTGTACAGAGGAGTTACAGTTACATGAGTAGGGTAATAAGTTACATTTTGTAGCAACCATTGTGAAGAGTTGCAGTTTGTGTGTAATTTGTGTGTGTGTGTGTGTGTGTGTGTGTGTGTGTGTGTGTGCATTGAGTAAGAAGGCAAAGACGGTTCTGGACTGTGCATGCCTGGCAAATGTTATACCACTAAATTATGCTCCTCCAATTGAAATACTTTCCATGACTGTTGATTGAAAGTAGGTTGTGTTACTATAGTACATGGAGTTTCTAAGTCTCTCTCCTTGATGTATCCAAGTTCCTGACTTAAGGTATTTTGTTCTAGAGTTCATAAAATGCCGGAGATATTTTATTTCCTTCCCTCTACTTATCATGCCACTGTCAGCTTATGGATTTCATTTCCTGAAAGTTCTTATCTCAAATTCAGTTCTATCAAATAGTAGAAAATAGTAATAATCAACTGTTCATTTGATAAAGTGCTTTGCATTGAGTAAAAGAAATACTTTTGGCGAGGTGCCAGTCTGTACTCATAGCTACTCAGGAGACTGAGATATGAGGATCATGGTTTGAAGGGTACAAAAGTTGTGAGACTCTTCATCACCAAAAAGCTGAAAGTGGAGATGTTGCTGAAGGGTAAAATGGTAGCCTAGAGTAAAAAAGTTCAAGCTCTAAGACCAGCACACACACACACACACACACACACACACACACACACACACACACACACTCTTTTAAGTAATTCTACTCTATTTAATTCTACCTATGGTAGAAAAAAATTTTGTCTTACAATCAGAATATTGGAACAGTCAGTTAGCTGAATTTAGCTTTCAGCAGTTACTGCTTAAAGGCCAAATCATTAGTATTGGATAGAATTTCAGTATTGATTTGCTTTTCTCTATTAATCTGAATATGCCCCCACAAACAGCCACACCAAGCTGTTTAGTGATCTGCATGGAGGCATTGTGGTTATAGGAGGATGGATTATCATCTGCTCCTCTTCTGCTTGGCACCCTAGAACAGCTGGTCTACTGGCAGTGGCCCATGGTTGCCAGTGTTGTCCAAACAGGCCACATGTAGCCCCATGGCTCTAGGGAGCAACTTGATTTATGCTAATCTAAAGGATTTTTGTATATTCTATTGTACTACCATAACACTAAGCACATGGACCATGGACTAAGAATTATAAAATAAGAATAATCAGTAAGTTAAAATCTATATATTTCTTTTAATCATATCAGTGGGATGTAGATAAAATGCTTAAGCTTTGAAGAAATAACATGCTTTCAAATATGAATATCTGTGTGGATGTGTGTGTAGATAGTTCATTAGTCAATCTTATTAGATATACATGATAAGAAAGGTCTTATTTAGATGACTAATTCTGACTTTAAATTACTTAAATAATTTGAAAAAGTATAAGTTACAACTAAAGATTATTTAGGTAAGAGCATTTGCCATCTGAAACATACGTATATTTACTGTCATAATCTTGAACAGTTCTCACAGACAGCATTATTATTTATTGTGCTATGAGAATTTACAAGTCATAGTAAGAGCACTCTGCTTCTCTACAACCATCAGCAGTGTCTTTGCTTTTGAAGACAGGTCTTCACTGAAATGTTTTTGTTCTCCAGACTGAGCTAGAACAAGAGAGGCACCTGTATGAAGAAACTCTAGCTGCCATGAAAGAAGAAGAGAAGCTCAGAGTGGACAAGATGGCCCATGACTTAGAGATAAAGTGGACGGAAAATCTTAGGTACACTTCTACCCTATAACATAATCTTACCCATGCAGGTGAGGAAATTTTCCTGTCATATAGCTCATGCTAGCAGTCCTTTAAATTTATTTTCCCATGATTTGCTACAGAGAGTGTAGTCTTACTTTTTTCAATTTAGATTCAGATTTTTCTGAATTTCATCTCTTTGCCTATAAGATAGGCAAGAGAACTAACCTGAAGTCAATTCTGTCATTGATAAGTTGCTAAATGAGTGGACTTGGGTAAGTTATGATCCTTAACTATAACATTTATCTATTCTGAGCTATGGACTTTAAGATGAATAAGTAAGTGTTCAAAAAACCTGTGAATCACTGCATAATAGTCCTTGAGGTGAAGAATTCTCTTTACAAAGTAAATGCTTGTGTTTTATTGTAGACAAGAATGTTTGAAACTTCAAGAAGAGTTGAGGATTCAACATGAAGAGGATAAAAAATCAGCAATGTCTCAATTGCTACAGTTGAAAGAACGAGAGAAAAATGCAGCTAGGGATTCATGGCAGAAGAAAGTCGAAGATCTCTTAAACCAGGTAGCTAATACTCTGCACCCAATTGTCTAGCTTGGGAGAATACTACAAAACACTGCTTGCTAATCCTCTGTTTTTTAATATTTTTCTATATTTTATATTTTTAGACATTTAAATGTGGAGGCTTATTCAGAAGCTTATAGAACATATTGGTAAATAATTTTATACACAGTCCTACATTCTGAGAATAATTTATAAATATTTAGTTTAGTTTCTGAACTGAGCGCATAAGAGACTAAAATAGGAAAGCTGTTTTTTTGAAAATGTAAAATGTTTTTTCCAGCCATTAGTTGCCATTCGGTAATAGTTACTAAATGTATCCTGATTACCTAAAACCACTTACCAAAAGTGATGGCTACTTCTTCTCTACAAGAGGCTTATACTTTACCCTTTGGGGCATCACATAAACAAAAGGTAGTGATATTTCTGAGCCTATCTTATGTCATATCCTCTTATTACCAAAACATATATAATTATAATTAAAACAGTTTACATTTTACTTGTTTATATAGCTTCTAAGTTTATGAATCCTTCGCATTCTTCTGCTTAACCAGTAATTAAATATATCTGACTGTATGAATCACCAGTTGATGAGCAAGTACAGAACTTGAGCAAAAAGCAGCTTGTAATTTCATGTTAGAAATCCACTATTATCTTTGTATTTTTGATGATAATGAATTTCAAAATAATCGGGATAGGCTTTCTGTAGGATAGTTTCCTAAATAGATATATGCAATGTCTTCCAATAATGATTGGAGCTTGACTATTTGTGCCTGATAATTTCTTAATAATTTCTCATTGATTGTTATTGATGTAGAGTCTCATTGTGTTACCAAGGCTGACCTTGAATAATATTGCAGGAGGCAGCCCAGGCACGTGCCATGACACTAGGTTTAAATGATTACACTTTAGTCAGAGGCAAGATGTGCTCCTGGAGTAATCAGTGAATATCTTTGAATTCTTATCAAGTAAAAGAATGACATTCTTAATCATTAACTTATTCTCTCTCAGGAGTTAGAAAGAAAATAATCATTATAGAATTATTGACCAATAGAATTATTATTAATTCTGTGGGGCTGGGAAGGTGGCTCAGTGGTAGAGCGCTTGCCTTGCATGCATGAGGCCCTGGGTTCAATTCCTCAGCACCACATAAGCAAAAAGAATAAAAGCCAGAAGTGGCACTGTGGCTCAAGTGGTAGAGTGCTAGCCTTGAGATGAAGAGCTGAGGGACAGCGCCCAGGCCCAGAGTTCAGGCCCCACAACTCGACCAAAAAAATTTTTTTTCTAATTTTCTTCTTGTTTTCATTTCATTCATAGTATTAAACTCAGGAAATAAGGAGACAGTCACTTAGATGTACATCTGGGGAATTAACTTTGACTCTATTTTGAAAGTGTGAACTTTGAGGCCCACTAAAATTGGTTAAAACCATGTATATGACACCCTTTTACAAGTCACAAATTTACAGTCTCATAGCAGGAAGACAGTAAATATAATGCTAATATAGTAAGTGACTTTTATTGTCACTACCATACTCACTTCCATCAGCCAATACCATCTATATTTCTAGTCTGTCTTTCAGTATTTTTAAGTGTTATCTGAAGTGATTGAGGTTTTCTTTGTACTTATACTCTTTCCTTTCTGAGCCCTCAACAGAATCCATTCAAAGATGGATGGATTCTCAATCCAGAATCCATCCAGAACCTTGTACTACCTGAAGCCTTGAATTAAAACCCCAGTATCTCTCTCTCTCTTTCTCTCTCTTTCTCTTTCTCTCTCTCCCTCTCTCTCTGTTCCCCCCTCTTTCTCTCTCTCTCTCTTTCTCTCTCTCTCTCTCACACACACACACACACATAATCTGTTCAAAATTCTTCCAACCTTTATTCATTACTAAGTTCCAGTCACTTCTATGATTTTAGATACTTGTTAGAGCAGCACCCTCACTTCCTGGTAGCAATTTGCTACCTCAGATTAGGCTACAACAGTAGAATACCCTAAATCAAGCCACTTGTAACCATAATCTTACTTGTTACAGTTCTTGAGGCTGGGAAGTTGAAGGTCAAGGACCTAGCATATTTTATGTCAGATGGAGTATCTTTGCTCATGGAGAGCTTTCTTTCATTGTAGGTCAGGAGAGGCTCTTTGAAGTCTCTTTATTAGGGCACTAATCAACACATGAAGCATGTCCTCATGACCTAGTCACCAATCAAAGATCTCACCACATTGGTTGTTAGGTTACCAACACTGGAGTTTGGGGGTGGGGCACACAGACATTCAGTCCACAGTACCGGGATACCATCTAGTCTTATGGTTTAAATGCCATCTACTTAAGTCAGTCATTTCCAAATTTAAATCTCCAGGTGTAGCCTCTTCCCCAAATTTATATGTTTACGGATGACTGACAGGCATGTGAAACAGCACATCTGACTCAAAAATACTCTCTTTCCCTTCATTTCTCACAACAGTGACCCGCTGGCACTGTTACTTGACTGTTGTCTCTTATGTATCTGTTAAACTTGCTTATTCTGTCTCCAAAATATTTTCCATTTCCTTTGTCTCCTAGTAAACACTACTATCACAATGACCTCCTTCCCATCTTTCCTCTCCAGGTTCACTTTTCTCAAAGCACTCAATGGATCTTTTAGGCTGTAAGGCAGATCACACCACTCCCTTGCCTAGCAGAGTATTCCACTAAATGGAGATAATTGGCTGAACTCCCTTGTCCTACAAAGACCCACGCTTCTCCACAGACATCGTTGTCTAGCAGCCCACTTCCACTTCATGGTCTTTATGCTGCCTCATCTGTTTGTGCTGTATATTCTTCCCCTGGCATTTTCATGGACCCATGTTTAAATGCTATTTCTTCTAAATGGTCTTTCCTTACTGTCTACCCAATATTACCTCCAGGCATTTCCTATCCCAGCAGCTTTTTAAAAAATCATTACCTGTTCTTATTTTTGTCATGTTGGTTTTGCTATCTTGGGTAACTCCGTAGCTCATTTTGTACTTACAGTATTTTCTGTAATATAAACAGTATCAAGTGAAAAATTAAAAAATGACTATATGAATAGTAGCATCACCCCCAGCAGCCTTAACTGTGTCCATACTATATATATGCAGGTCTGTCCTATGTATGGTTTGTGAGCTCACATGAGGTCTACCCCCTTTGGGTCAGATGTTTCTGTGGTCCACAAGTACTTGTAAACAAAAGGAATGATAATGTGAATGTGCTTTTGTTATAAAGGACCTAAAACATACACTTACTTGATTTGTTGTAATGTTCTGACTTATCAAAAATGTTTTAAAAGACATTATTTATTAAATAACATGTGTATTTTTGTCTGATGGATAATACCTTAGAATGAAAAATATGTTTTATATGTAAATAGCTACCTTTTAGATTAACTTCTAGTATTAAGATGTTATTTCTTAGAAAGTCAAAGAGAAATTATAATTTAGATTCAGAAGCTATGCAATAACTGGAAAGTGTCTTTTTCTTACCTAACCTTTCAGCTCTAGCAAACTTTATCCTGGAATATCAATTAGTAATAAATTATTTTCAAATAAAATTTAACTTCAGTTTGTGACATACCAGGGAATAATAGGCAAATAAAATTCTATCAAAATGTGATAAAAATTGAAACCATTTTAAAGGAATTCTTAAAATTCACATTAGCAACAAAAATGGAAAATACCACCTTGTATTTTATGAAGGTAAAAAGTAAGGTGGTTAATAATGAAATTACACTTTTCTCTGTATTGGAAGGGCAGGGATGTAGGTTTCCTCCAAAGACTTATCCCTTCTGAACAATGAACCTAGATCATAAACAATTTTGCCCAATAAATGCAAGGAAAGGGAATTAGAAAGTTGAAAGGTGTCTCATCTTCCTTTTCCCCAAGTAAAAGACCAGATTTATTACTAAATTTTCAGTTTCATTGCTTATCTCACATTTATTTCTGGCCCCAAACTGCACTAGTCAGTCAAGTTTGTGTGTGCCTATCATCTGCCAGTTTCTCATTGGAGAAGTAGGGTGTCACGCTGTGAATGATTATAGTGGAGATCCAGGGAGGAATGTCGTCTTTCAATAGTAATCATCTTTGTATTGTTATCATTGTTATTTTCTTCAAGTAGTTGTACAGAAGGGTTTCAGTTCAACATGTCAGATTATGAATACAATGCATCTTGATCAATGTCACCCTTTTCATAACTCTTTCCCATGATCCTCTTTTAAACTCTGGTTTACAAATTTCCTAGTCTTTGTAGTTTGCCTTGCTACATCTGCCAACTCACAAACATACCAGAAAGTTTTACAGATAGTATAGAGGATGTTTTAACTTTCTTTTTGTCTAATTTCTTCTTTAAAATTGTTTTTGGCTTTTTCTTCAGTGTATTATCATTAATGTTCTGTGTTTTGCTTTCCCCTTTTGTCCGTTCTTCCTTCACATAGTTGATTTCTGAATGTTTCCCTCTACCCCTGTGATCTTTTCCTCACAGAGACACTCTCTGGGTGAAGCTTTGCATAAGTCTATCAACAATGTAAGTGAACACACTTACTGCTTCCACACAAGGGCATGGTACACTTTTGATTTTGCGTGAACATCACTGCTTTGAAGCTTTAACTTACATCAAAATGCACTTTGGCATTCAATAAGATATGTTTTGTTTATGAGTATTCATAGCTCCTTTCAGTCACTCGTTTGTTCATGTGCATACATCTACCACATTGTACTAATAAAGGTACATGTCATTATAAGCCTAAGCGAGATTTTTACATCTAAACACAAAATTTTATTTTAATACTAACTTTGAAAGACAAATATTTGTGAGAACTACTTATCTAGTTGGTTATCATAAAAATATAATTCTTTTGTTAAACTAGTTTATCCTTTGAAAAGCAGTATCGACTTTTTATTTTAAAAGATTTGACATTTATAATATCTCATGAGGTTCAGTACATATTTTACATTTAATGTTATAATTAATAGTTGTAAGAATTACAGGCTG